ATATTTAATAGTGTTGAATCCATCCACTTATCGAATAACTTGTTGTTACCTCTTGAACATATATATATACATATATATATATATATATATATACTAGTTTAGTATATTTTGGTGAGGTTGCAGTTATCGTTGGATCTATTTGAGGAGTTTTAATCCCATTTTACTTGATGTTGATCTCACTAACTCTTTAGTGAGAGGTTTCGTAAATGGATCAACTAAGTTCTCACTAGACTTAACAAATGTAAGAGAAATTACTCCACATTTGATTAATTTCCTTACATACTCATGTCTTAGACTCATATGTCTAGACTTTCCATTATATATTTCGTTATATGCTCGAGCTAGAATGGCTTGACTATCAAGATAGGTATAGAAGAAATATCCTCCATAACTAAAGGTATTTTATATAATAAATCTCTTAGCCACTCAATTTCTTTCCCAATTTCGACCAATGCTTCAAACTTCGATTCCATAGTTGAATGAGTAATACAAGTTTGTTTCTTAGACTTCCAAGAAACTACACATCCTCCAAGAGTGAATATCCAACTTGAAGTAGATTTATTCTCTCCAGCACTCGATATCCAACTTGCGTCAGTATATCCTTCCAAGATTTTAGGAAGTATATTGTAGCCCAAGATTTTTTATTTTCTTTAGGTAATCAAGAACCCTACCGATGGCCTTCCAATGTTCTGAACTTGGATTGCTAATAAACCTACATAGTTTACTTACAGCAAATGTTATATCGGGTCTTGTACATTGTGATGCGTACATAAAATTTCCAATTGCACTTGTGTATTCTATTTGTGCAATTGTTCTACCTTCATTTTTTATTAATTTAATATTTGGATCTATAGGAGTGTTAGCCTCCTTAATATTCAAATGTTTGAATTTGTTTATCACACTCTCAACATAATGTGATTGGCTTAATATAAAACCCACACTATCCTTTTTAACTTTGATACCAAGGATAGTATCAACTTCTCCAAGATCCTTCATTTTGAAAGTAGAGGATAGAAACAATTTTGTTTCTTTGATCCTGTCTATATTATTGCTAATGATTAGCATATCATCAACATATAGACTTACTAACGTGAATATATTTTCATTCACTTTCGTGTAGAGGCATTTATCAACCGAATTGTGATTAAATCCATTTGATATTATTTTAGAGTCAAATTTCTCATGCCACTTTTTGGAGCTTGCTTTAGTCCATATAAGGATTTAATTAATTTACACACTTTATGTTTATTTCCAAGTAGAACGAACCCTTCTGGTTGTTCCATATAGACTTCTTCTTCGAGATCTTCATTTAGGAATGGCGTTTTGACGTCCATTTAATGAACATGTAGATCATAAAGGATGCTAACGTAAATAAGATCCTGATCGAGGTTATCCTAGCTACGGGTGCATATGTGTCAAAGTAATCAATTCTTTCTCTTTGACGTTGCCCTTTAGCCACTAATCTGGCCTTGTAGGTATTAAGAGATCCATCGTAATTGTATTTCTTCCTAAACACCCACTTGCAACCAATAGCCTTAGATTTTGCTGGCACGTCAACTATAACCCAAGTGTTATTTGAAATAATAGAATCAATTTCGTTGTTTATGACTTCTTTCCAGACCATACAATCTCTAGATTGCACTGCTTCCTTATAAGTCTTAGGATCACTTTCCACTTGAAGAACAAAGGGAATTGTTCTTACAACATCCTTCACATCTCCTTCTACTAAGTAAAAAAAAGTTGGGGATCTATTTCATCTGATCGTAAGTTCTTTTCTTTTCTAGTTCTTTTACTTCTTCGAGATTCAATTTCAACATCTTTTATGGATGTTTCTTCTGGTGAGCTTCTAAAAATTGAAATATCCTTATTATTATTTTCAGATTTCCTAGCCACCATTATATCCTCGAAGAATTCCATATCTCTTGATTCTATTGTAATATCTGTTTCTAGATTTAATAATCTATAGGCTTTGCTATTGAAAGCATATCTCAAAAAAGCACATTTGATACTTCTAGGACCTAACTTGGTTCTCTTAGGATACATATTATTACAATAGGCAAGGCACCCCCACACTTTAAAATAACTAATATTTGATTTTCTATTTTTCCAAATTTTATTCTTTTTCATAAGAATCTTATTTGTTATATAGCAAGCACTAAGTAAGGCTTCACCACATAGATTGAAGGGTAATTCAGAATTTAACAATATTGCATTTATCATTTCCAAAAGAGTTCTATTCTTTCTTTCTGCTAATACATTTTGTTTCAGTGTTATAGATGCAGAAACTTGATGTACTATTCCATTTTGTTCACAAAACATGTTAAATTCATTTGAAAAATATTATCCACCTCTATCACTTCTTAAAATCTTTAATTTTCTTCCTAATTGATTTTCAGCTTCAATCTTATAAGTCTTAAAGGCACTAAAGGCTTCATCCTTATATTTTAATAAGTACACATAAGTATATCTAGAACAATCATCAATAAAAGTAATAAAATATCTATTACCGTCTCTAGTTAACATTCCATTCAATTCACATATGTCGGAATGAACAAGTTCAAGTACTCTTGTTTTCTTACTACGCTATGAAATGGCTTTTTAATCATTTTTTACTTAACACACGTTTCACATTTTTCAAAGTTGTCAATATCACATTGTATTAATCCACATTTAAGTATTCTTTTCATAGTATTAACTCCTATATGTGCTAATATATGATGCCATAACTTAACTGAATCAGTAATATACGCAAAAGATTTAACTTTATTTGAGTTATCCTCAATAGTACATAGTTTGATCATTCTTTCGGTGGAATAACTCTTTCCAACAAAGTGCCCATTATGAGTTAATATAAGCTTTCAAGATTCAAAAACAGATTTAATTCCAGATTTTCCCAAGAGTACACCACTTGCTAAGTTTCTATTCATTTCTGATACATGCAAGACATTTGTCAAAGTGAATTTCTTTCTCGAAGAGAAAATGAGTTCCACATTTCCTTTCCCAATCACTTTTGATCTTCCTTCATTTCCCATTTATATCTCTTGATTGTCTTCAATGTCATGATAAATTTTGAAGAGAGACTTATCATAACATACATGGATTGTAGCACATGTATCGTATCACCAACCTGGAACTTTGCCTTGGATTGCATTGATTTAGCTCACCATAGCGATAATCTCATCAACGGAGTTCACTTGTCATTCCTTCTTTTGTTGTTTCCTATGTCTACAATCCTTAGCATAGTGTCCCGATTTTTTACAAACATAGCAAGGTCCTTTGACTTTGTTTTTGAACTTTTCTTGATCCTTTCTAGGATCAAGAAATTTTCCTTTCTTTTTAAATTTGTTGGAGTTGTCCACATTGTCCACGGCATTAGCCTTTGAAGGGTCTTCATAAGAATTTTCAATCTTATCTTTTGCCTTTTGATTCTTCCTCAATACGAAGATGTTTTTGTATATTTTCTTCATATATCCTTTCCAAGAATCAGGAAGTTTAGCAATAATTACTTCCACTTGAAAAGTTTCAAAAAGTTCGATTTTCACCGACTTCAATTTGTTTACAATTATTTGTAACTCTTGAGGCAATAATGGTATATTATCCAAAAATTTGAAATCAAAATACTTAGATATTAAGAACTTTTTGGTACCTTCCTCCTCAACTTTGTATTTGCTTTCTAGCGCGTACCAGATTTCTTTTGCCGATGTAGTGTTGATGTAGAGATCATGGAGGCGATCGGATAATGCATTTAGGATGTGGCCACAACATATCAATTCGTCCTCTTCCCGTTTCTTCCTTTCTAAGCGAATTTCTTCGGTATCCTTCTCAATTGCATCGGTTGACAGAAATTTAATTTTGGATCAAGCACATAAAAGATTTTCAAGACCGTTGACAGAAATTTAATTTTGTCTTACCATCTTGTGAAATTTGTGCCATCGAATCTGTCCAAGCGTACCAAGTCTTGATTCATCATTTTGATAGTAGCAATTGTAGATTTAGTCTCCATTGCAATAATAGTAACACTTAATGTTTGAGATTGTTAAAAAAATAATGGCAATGGAGAAGATTATTATAAAAGTATATCAATAAAGGCTTGAACACAAAATTAATCTCGTTGTCCTTAAATGTTATTTGCCTCCTTTCTAATGCTTTTTAAGGATTTTTGGCAAATAGTTTGTAGGATTAAACAAACCTTGACAAGAAGAACACCAAAAAGTAAAGGTGTTTCTTCACAATGAACAAGTGAAAATGGAATGATTATGTGATAAATTTTCTCAATATTGGAAGTATATTTGGAGATAAATTTGAATGGAACTCAATTATGTTTCTTTCATTTGGATTACCTATTTATAGGCATTGACAAGTTTTTCACGAAATAGTGCAAAACAATGATGAAAAGTCACTAATTTCAAATAAAAAACGGTCAAAAAATTAACCTAACGGTTAGTTTTGATAACCATGCGACCGCATGGGCAATAGCCATGCGGTCGCATGGTTATAGTATCGCCGACCCTCCCATTCTCGGGAGGGCGGTCGCATGGTTAAGCCCCCCCTCCATGCGGTCACATGGTTAAGCCCCCCCCCCCCCCGCCCCCCTTTCCTTTCTTTTGATTATGAACAATAAATTTCCAACAGTTCATTCAAGGCGAAGGTGGTGGTAATGACGGATTGTGGGTCTGAGGTGACCACGCATTTTAGGTGGTGTCGATGGTAATGCAGGGGGTGGGGTGAGATGGGGGAGATGATGGGTAATTTGAAACCTTTCAATATGATAATTATGATCAGATAGTTTGATAATTTATGATAAAAAATAATAATAATAACTAGTTATAACCAATTAATTTGATAACTTGTTACTGTGACTGTGACGTTTGTGATTGTGTTATCTATTTAATTAATACCACCTGGTTTTAAAAGAATTTCGTAAGTTTGAAAGTGTATTTTTAAAGGTATATATGGTTATAAATATTTTCCATAAGCTATTTTCAGCCAGTATATATTGATAAATACAAGACAAACATGATTTTATTATTACAATACAAACAAACGAGGACATTACAAAGAGGCCATAACTAAGATTCTAAGAACATAAAACATTCTTAAAGACCTCTAAAACACTGATCAGTAAACTCAATTTCTGCTACAAATTCCTGTTTATTCATCTACCAGAAGAAGAAAAAAACATTAAAAAGCCAAACAAAGCTATAGGGTCAATTTTATTTTATTTTTACAAAGAGGAAGGTCAAAAACATGGCAAATTAACAATAATCAGCCATGAAAAAAATTAGGAAAAAAACCCTCCAAAATGAACCCCACAGCAAAATAAGCTTCAAAAAATGGTTTGAAATGGTGGATGTCCAACACAGGCTTTTGGTAGCCAGATAATTGGCAAAACAAAGTTTAACTGTGTGTTCAACAAGGAACTTCATCGATTCAGATGAACGTTTTAAGCGCTGCACGTAAATTCTTCAGAAAATCCTTTGATGACATGTTGTATACTTCATCCATCTGCAAGAAATCACGAGGTTTTCTAACATATTTGCTATTGAAAATATAATGAAAAATGCCGTAATTTAGGAAATTTTAGGAACTTAATGTATAAAGTACCTTTGCAATTACAGTTATATCGAGAGCAGAATCTCCAAAAGTCAGTGAACTGCTATTAACAACTGATAGATGGAGCTTCTCAATTTCAGCTACTGTTTTTTCAAGAATTCCTTTCCTTTTCTCACAGTGGATTCTTACGAGGACATCTTTATTATCAGAAAATCTCGCTTCAATTTCTGGGAGTGGCTCATCAATAAAGTTTTCGTCCGAGGGAGAATTTTCATTGCCAGTATAAATCTCATATTTCTTGACAAAAACCACTGACTCCATGGATTTCTTCCTGGTTTGCTCCTCAAGAGTCTTCACTCGATCTTGGAGTACTTTAATGTACTTAATTGCATCTCCAAGAACCGATGCCTTGTCCATCTGCTCATAGAATGGTAAGAAAATTTATTGGCATTAAGCACTCAAGAAGTAAATTATCAGATTGATACTTAAAACACCCCTATGAAGTTATGGATTAAGCCCTAATCCCAAGCACGAGCGGAATAATACAACTATAATAGTTCACCATCAATATGATAGCTACGTCCATTTAATGCTGCGGGTTTTCAAGAATACGGCGTTTTCTCATACATTTCTTGCACCCTTAGAAAACCCTTTATATAGTAGGGATATTATTAGGTCGATAAGCAGTCGAGGAGAAAGTGTACAGTTCAGGATATATAAATATGTGAAAAAAATAAGAAACTATTGTACCTTTTTCAATCCAGGTACTAGGGCGGACAAAGCAATGAATCTCTGGCTGAGTTTTTCTCTCCTCTTCCTCTCAGCTATAACATGATCCTGTCCATGAGAATATCTATCATTTGTGCTAATTCTTTTATTTCCTGGACAAGCCTTGAGCGTGTAATTTTTAGCTTGAGAAACAACTGAATCATTGGAGAAATTTAGAGTACTAGAAGAAGACCATGTCTCCTCTTTAGGATTCGCCATTTCTAATTGATTGGTGAAACACGAATTCATTGAGTTGAGATTGTTAGAGGGATTAGGCCAAGTGTTTGTTTTGAGCTGTTTTGGGGTCCTTTCGAACCCATATTGAGAAAAATCTGCAGCCCTTTTGAAATTCAATGTTGGTTGAGAGAAAGACTGATAAAAATCTTCACCAAATGCAGTACAAATCGACATAGTGCTGAGATCGTCGAATGAATTTACAGGCCACTGGTGAACAAGACCACTCTCATCCATTGCCTGTCAATTATGAATAAATCATCTTTAATGAAACAAAATTTTTAAAAATATATTTGTCATAATAGATTACTTAAAAAAGGAGCTGATCATCATGATGGATTTATGAGATCGTTGTGTTTTAACCGTCATAGAAAGACTAATTCGATGTAATGCTTACCAGATCTGATAAACTTCTGATGCTTGCAATCTCCATAAGCAAAATCAAGAATCCTGCGCAATATAAAATTATACTTAAAACACCAAAGCTTGTCTTTTTCTTAAACCTTGCAATTAAGAATATTGGTTAAGATTTATAGGCTCAACAAAAAGAAGTTCTCGTCTCTCTCTCAATTATTTAGTTCTAAAGTCTTGGGATTTTTTGCTGATGTGAAATGGACGCTGAGACTTTTGAATCTCTCTTACAACAATAGTATGAACATGAATAAATGATTAAAAAATTTAAAAAACCTTAGTGGTTGCTTTTAAGTTGGTGTAAAGTTGAGCATTAATTAAAAGTTTCCTCAGCTGTCATATTACGAATTTTAGACTTTGTTGCCGTTGAAGTTTGAAGATTGCAAGTTGGAATAAAAATAAATGAAGAAAACGATTAGCTGTTAATTTTAGGGCATCCATGTCAACTACCATTATGTCCCTCAATAGAGTCCAAATCAAGAAAATTTTCTCCAGATTTCGCGGAAACCTCTGTATCTACATCTCGTTGACTGGTAATTTTTTTCTTTTGAGCACGTGTTGTATTATAAGCCATCTTGAAATATGTTATGATGATCAAAGTTTTTTACGCTAGAATAATGTCTCCGACCAAAAATTGTAGGCAGATTATTTGTACTGTACTTTTATTTTAATTATCAAGGTTTTCGTAGAAGTTACGTCGTGTTTATATTGGAAACAGTTTATTTTTGTTTACGCTAATTGCCGGAGTTCTTTACTTTCTTTTTTCCCACTCCCACTCCCACTCCTGCTCCTAACATTTCTCCTTCTAGAACAACTTATGTTTACCCCAGTAGTTTGACCTTCACTCCCTGAAACTGACTCTCGCTCATAACATGCTAGCTAGTAGCTACGATACAAGGGTATTAGCCCTCCGGGGCATATCTCAATGATATAAAGGATAGAAGTGAGGTAATCTCAATCTTGTTGGTAGTCACAGTGTGAGGATTTGATTCTTGAGTTGGACTTTTTGTGGACACCAGTGTACAGGCAAACTCTTGTTTCCTGACCTATTGGGGCACATCCCACGATTAACCTCCCTCACGATACTTCAGGGGTGGAGCGATGGCGACCCTCAAGGTTGGGATTCAACTTTTTTTTTTTTCAACGATATAAGGGTATTAAGATTTGAAGTTGAGCTCAAACAAGTAATTCAATTCGCCTAAATCTCAAATCAAGCACATAAATTTCAATACTAGTATTCGAACAAGAAAAAAAAGTAACGTTCTTGCAGAGCATATTGTAAAAAGATAATTTTATATTGAATATTAGACTGCTCTTCTTAATAAAGTTGACATTTTAAAATAAAGCTTCAAATCTTGTGTATGGCAAGGAAGATGAGCAGAAAAAGGGTGGAGTGAGTAAGAATAGTGATAAAGGTATTTACTTGTCTAGTTTTAATTCATTTAATCTTTTATTATTTATGTTTAGTAAGAGCTTATTTTGATTATGAGTTATTCTAATTAAAATAAATAGGCTTCACGATTATTTAAAAGTCTATTTTTAGAATTTCGTATTTAAATAGGGAGTTATGATTTTATTGCTCATTCATAAATTCATGTAGCATTTGTAATTTTGTATTTGTAAGCGTTTAGCATTCGCCTGCGTCCATTGGTATCAGAGCCTAGTCTACACTCCTAACAATAAATCGAGGACGAGAAGTTAGAAGTCTGGTGTCAATGTTGATAATGGAAACTATAGAAATGAAATAACAAATCATCCACTCCAGCAACTTGATGTTTTGGTACAAAAGGTGGCCAGATTGGCCATCCTTCTGAAACAGATGGTGAGTGATATTTATAACGATTGATGAGACACACAAGGTGGTGGCTGCGGAGGAGCGGGCGCAGAGAAGGAAAGGCCAAACACTTCGGCCTAAGGGGTATGGCGTGTGTGAGGATATGGTTCACCTAACCCCACCCAATGTTGTGACTTGATGGTATTGATGTTGACACAATAAGGTCTTCCCACGTTTTGGCAAAGACATGGTCTTTCCTTCCTTCCCCTTCATATGTACTCTACCATTTTCAAAAGGAAGGAGGAGCTCTCGGTCTCTTTTTTCTCCCAGCAGAAGTGAGCTCTCGGTTTTAGCTTAAGGTGGTGGTTCTTTGCCGGATTTTTCCCCTCTCTCTTGGAAGGTGATTTGCAAGTCATGGAGGCTGTTCCTGAGCCTAAAAAACACCCATAAATCGAAGAAGAAGCTGCTGAAACGAAGAAGAAGAAGCTGGACAGATTTCGGCCAAATGAAGGGGTTGTATTCTTCCGGTTTTATTTTCTTGTTTTTGCCTTGAATCTTGTTTGTTGATTGTTGTTTTGGTTGATTGAACTCCTAGGATCCCCAACAAACTGGTATCAGGGCTAGGAGGAGTGATATTAGTCTAAAATCGATTAAAAACCAGCAAGAAATCGTCATTACCACATTCTAACCGAATCTGAAAAACTTGATTTCCGGCCAACCTATTGACTTTCCGGCGAAATGGACCATGGAACCATGACCAGCAAGAGGAGGCGCACCTTGTGGTGGGGCGCGTGACCGGTAGCGGCGCATGCGGCGACGCGTGGCCGGACCTCCGACGAGCTTTTTTCGGGCAGTTTACTTATTTTGACGTCCTGAACGCACTGATGTCGTTTGTTTTTTGTTTCAGATTTTACAGAAAAAGTTGGACGATTTTGCCCCTACCTTGACGTCTACAGCAATTTGGTTCAGAAACTTGGTGGTATATTTACTGTTTGTCAACAATAGTTTGGTAAGATTATTCCAAACTCTCCGTTAGGTTAGGTTTGGTATCCTTACCGGTTTATGCATGGTTATTACTTGGTTGCTTATTTGTGAATTCTGTTGATTGAATTCTTGTGATTAATTTGTAACCTGGAAGCATATTTACCTGCTTTATATACCTATGTTTTGTGAACGGATTATTTCACCGTTGTGCTTCATTTCTAAAAATTGTTTTTTAAACTCGGTACTCAGTTTTATATTGATCATTTGGAAAAGAATTTTTCAAAACCTTTTTTGTTGTGTCCACGAGTACAGGCCACTCTTTTATAGAATCTATAATGAGTTCGAGGGTCGAATTATCGCAATTCGATGGAAAGGGGGATTACTCGATATGGAAACAGAAAATGAGGGCCATTTTGGTCCAACAGAGAGTTGCTAAAGCTCTTGATGATCCCGCTACATTTTCTGATGAGTTAAAAGCTAAAACAACTGAAATTGAAGACATGAATGAAATTGCTTACAGTTATATAATTTTGCATCTATCTGACAATATTGTGAGACAAGTTGATAGTGCTAAAACTGCTAGAGCTTTGTGGATTGCTTTAGATGCCCTGTTCTTAACTAAAATTTTACCTAACAAAATATATCTATTGGAGAAGTTGATTAGTTTTAAGATGGACCCGGGGAAGGATGTCGAGGGGAATTTGAGTGACTTTAGCATAATTGTTAAGAGTCTAGCTCATAATGATAAAACATTTGATGATGAGGATTTAGCTGTCATATTGCTAAACTCTTTGCCCGAATCTTACAGAGAAATGAAAAATGCCATAAAGTATGGTAGGGACACTCTCACTCAAGCTATTGTTTCTGATGCTTTAAAATCAAGAGAACTTGAATTAAAAAGAGAGAACAGAACTCATTCTCGTGAAGAGGGTCTATTTGTTAGGGGAAGATCTGAAAAAGAAGAATTCAACTTCCATAACAAGAAGGGGAGAGGAAAATCTAAAATGAGATCCAAATCTAAAGATAAAAGCGGTAAGAAATGTTATCACTGTGGAAAGTTAGGACATTTCAAGAAAGACTGCTTTGATTGGAAAAGAAAACAAAAAGACCCGAACAATTCTGATGTTGATAATGCTGCTATTGCTACTGAATTTAATAGTTTGCATGTCATGAATGTATCTGAAAAAGAATTTGACAAAAATTGGATTCTTGACACAGGGTGCACTTTCCATATGTGCCCTGATTGGTCTTGGTTTTATAACTATAGGGAGACTGAAACTAGGAAGGTCTACATGGGAGACAATAATTCTCAAAATGTGATTGGAGTTGGTGACATAGCCATCAGGATGTACAATGGGGCCGTCACGCAATTTAGAAATGTTAGATATGTCCCAAATTTAAAGAGGAACCTCATTTTCTTAGGTTCTCTGGAAGATGAGGGATATACCTTCAAATCTGGTAACAAGATTTTGAAAATTATGAAGGGTTCTCTTATAGTTATGAAAGGGCCCAAGAGGAATGGGCTGTACCATCTTGAGGGTAGAACTGAAATACCATTTGATTCTAGCCTTCTTGCTGTGAGTAAAGACAAAACTAAATTTTGGCATAACAAAATGGGTCACATTGGGTTTAAAGGTCTAAAATCTTTAAGTAATCAGAAATTACTTGGAAAAGATGACATTGAAACTATGGAATTCTATGAAACTTGTGTTTTGGGTGAGTCTCATAAGGTGAGCTTTGAAACTAGCTCTCATAGGACCAACAGACCATTAGACTATGTCCATGCTGATCTATGGGGCCCGGAGAAGCACTCCACATTTGGTGGGAGCAAGTACTTCTTGTCCTTAGTGGATGATTACTCAAGAAAGGTTTGGATTTATCCTTTGAAGGCTAAGTCGGAAACTTTTGGAAAATTCAGAATTTGGTTAAAGTCTGTTGAGAATCAGTTAGATAAGAAACTTAAAACGTTAAGAACTGATAATGGGCTTGAATTCTGTAATAGCGAATTTGACAACTTCTGTAAGCAGAAAGGTATAACAAGACACAGAACTGTTAAATACACACCTGAACAAAATGGGGTCGCTGAAAGAATGAACAGGACCATAATGAACAAAGTTAGGTGTATGTTGATTAGCTCTGGCCTTGCGAAAGGTTTTTGGGCTGAAGCTGCAAGTACTGCAGCTTATCTGATTAATAGGTCTCCATCCAGCAGTATAGGGTTTAAGACCCCACAGGAGTTGTGGACGGGAGAGCCTCCAAATCTGGAACACTTGAGGGTGTTTGGATGTGCTGCATATGCACATCAATCTGAAGGGAAACTTGAGCTCAGGGCTGTCAAGTGTGTGATGTTAGGGTATCCCAAGGGTGTGAAGGGCTATAGGTTATGGGTTTTAGGGGTCCAAGGCATTAAGATTATTAACAGCAGGAATGTAGT